TTTTTGCAATTCTAGGACTTTTTTTTAAGTGAAAATAGTTCGATGTATACATGGATGCCAAGTTTCTGCAATTCTTTGTCTGGTAAAAGTATATTTATGGGTACCCCTTGGCAAAACTTGGTAAGCCAAAATAACAAGACAAAGAATTGCACAAACTCGGTATCCATGTACACATCGAACTATTTTCACTTAAACAAACATCAGAGATTGCACAAACTAGACTTTGTGCACTCTCTTGAGTTTGTTCATGTACACATCAAACTATTTCACTTCAAAAGTCAAAGGAGCAGCCAACAAAAAATATATAATCTCAATAAACTACATTTTAAATCAAACAATGGAATAACATAAAAAAGGAAATTCATCTTTGCACTACACAAAGGAAATATCCATTTACCTTATTTACGAATTCAAGTAAAACAAAATTCCTTAACAGCATCCAAAAACTTCTCAAAATTATCTAAACTAGAATCTGTATACTGCGTCGCCACATAAATTCACAAAATAAGAGTCAAATTATCCTCTGTAATGACGTTCGACCATATGCATTTCCTTCCTACAAACAGGACACCTAATAACGTCTACTAAGTAAACCTTCATTTCCACAGCAGTCAAGTAATGCTCTTTTGACCTTTCTTTCCAAATTGTACAGAAACTTCAAATTAATCTTACCACAGTCGGCCATTTTACCGTCTAAACCACGAAACAAGCAACACACTTCCTAATCAACATACATACACCACAAGCTCTTACAAATTTACTGCAACCAATTACGTCATAATAGGGTTTCCATAAAATTCAACTACCCAGGCTACCATAAATGAAACAACTTGGAGATAAATGAAACAACTTTGCGATAATACAAGGGGTACCCTTAAGTCAACTCTAACCACCAAATTAAGTATGTCTTTTATTTTTACCCATTCTTTGAGCATGTTACATGCCAACATCCATAACTGAGACATTGTATGAACTTGATATCTGTACCAGCATGTAACATATTATGTAACCTTAGAAATGCAACTCGAAGTTCCAGTTTATCAAGATTTTTGCTTGAAATGCACCTTCACTAAAATAATTCTCTTCTCTTCATTTGAGAAGATAATTCAAATCAATTTTGATCCATTAACTACTCACTATAAATGGAAATGAGAAAAGTATGTTCAGGGACTGGAATCTTAACCAAGATGTTATTACAGTTGTAAAGAAAGGAGGCAAAAGTGGAATACTTTGACATGAGATGCTTGTTTTAAAGCACTGGATGTGATAGAAATGATGCAAAATGTACGTTAATTTTATCTCACAATCTCTGATATTTGTCATAAGATGAGCTTTGCTCGTCATGCGGGCCGTACTGTGTCCTAGATAAACAAATACCTCTGACATATTAATTTATATTTAGAGATGCATTCACAATTCTGTACATAAACACATTTATCTGATAGGTATTCTGTTACAATCAATTAGAGACAATAACCAGTATGACCAATAAATTTTATAATTAAAAACCAAACCATTTATAATTTTATGATTAACTTGCTACTTTAAATATAAAACACATTCTAATACAAGTATTTTATACCTACATCGATTTTATGTATTTGCACTAAGGTAATTTATCTGGCAGACATTGTCCAATAAAGGTAGCTGTTTAGTATTACACTCTCTATCAGTTTAGAACTAATAAAAAGAATGAAAAATGTAATTAAGAATGAAATATGTAATTAACTTTAACAATGAGTTATTTCTAATTGTATGGTTAGGTTTATCTTGCAAATAGAATTAAATACTTATACTGTTATAAACAGTGGCGGCTCGTAATAATCACTGTGGAACTGCAGCACCTCATATTTCCACTTATTATTATTTTTAATATTTAATATAGTGTGCCTTTTAGTCTTTAATTCTTTCTTTATACTTTTACAATACATAATCCTTAATCTTAATGTCAGTAGCCATCCCCTACTTTGTGGAAAAGGTACGAAATTCTTTATTTGGGGAGCTGCGCGCTTCACAGTTCCAGCGACATGGTCTTTGGCTGTTCTGCGCATGCGCAGACAGAAATGCAGCACGTGAGCCGAGTAGAGAAAAGAGCACTGTCACTCTTGCAGTGCCGAAATTCTGGCATGTTGTTGGAAACGTGATTTCTTTTTATTCTGCGCGTGTGGTATTCCTCCACAGGGTGGAACTTCACCATACGAACCATAAACAGAGTTGATGAAAATTTTCAACCTTTAAAAAATTGCCTTACTGAAATTCAGTCAACGTCAAATGCAGGAATTTTAAAATATCTAAATAATGATAATTTCAAGTTTTCCTAAGAGCTTTTTTATCAGATGCCTCATGTTGAAATAATATACAACTAAATGCAATCCAGAGAAATTAGTGTGTTTAAAGTTAATGACTATGTAACATATTTCAAAACTGCTATTTTAGATTTAAGAAACTTAAAATACTGTGAGAATTTTTCACTGATGGCAGAAGCTAAGGAAATACGTGACTTTATAACTCTGTATTGATATAATGCACAGATATTCTTCCACTAAACACATAGCAGCTGCTAAATTGTTAAACAAGAAATGCTTTGCTAGTTTTAGGAATGAACATTCTACAGAAGAAATAGTATGACCACTGAAGCATATCCAATGATTCACAAAGAAAAGCTTGAAACCGAACTAAAATTATTCTATTGTGTGTCTGATATCCATGAATACTGCAAATTAATTGAGCTACTGAAATTTATCTTCGAAAATAATCTAGATATGTTCTTAGTGAAATTACAAAATAGATAAAAATTCTCTTGTGGGTTCCCATGACTACATCAGAGGCAGAATGTTGCAACACGAACTGCAACATTACATCAGAGGCAGAAAGTTTTTCAACATTGGAAAGAATGAAAATTTTTCTAAGAAGCACTAGGAATTTGGAAAAACTAAATGCGCTTGCATTGCTTTCAATAAAGAAAAATTTCCTCAGTTGTCATCCAGAGATCAAGGAGAAAATTTTTGATATTTTCGCGCAAATTAAAACAAGAAGAATGGATTTCATTTTTAAATGAATAGACAAAGATTGAACTGTAACAATTTTGGTTAAAGTAATTGAGAAATTTTTAATTTTTTTCTTGTAAGATTTCATGAAGTTTCAAAATAAATTTTCTTTTTATACATGTTTGTTTCCTTTTAGACAATTGCGCCCACCAGCGGCCGAGCAGTAAAGACGCTGAACATTGGTAGTTCGGTCCGAGGTTCAAATCCCGCGAAAGAGTTGGCTGCATGGGCGTTTTCGTGGTTTTCCCCATGTGTAACGTGCATACGAGCCAGTTTCCCTTATAAAGTCCTGCACGAAGTCATCCCTCCCTTTAGGCAGATAGCCCTCGTGTGCTTTGTCATTAATTAAATAATCCAATCCTTTTAGACAATTTTTAAAGGCTAAATTTTTTTGGAACAGCACCCCCACTAATTTTAGCCACGAGCCGCCACTGGTTATAAAACTTCATACATAAATATAAATTGTATTGTGTTCCTCTGAAGGAGATAAAATGTTCACATCTTTGTTCTACTACATATTTGTAGATGAATAAATCTGCATTGTATGTGTTTGTAAACATACTTATATGCACTATTTTGAGTATTAAACACAGGGCTATTTCTGTAGGAAAAGCTTATCGCATAGTAAAACATATTATTTGCAGTCAATGATGTATGATTATTAAATTTCTGATTACTTATGAAATACAAAAGACAAGATATTTAAACAAATTTTGGTACTTGCATATTAACAAAACCAACTCCGTGCAATTTTTTTTAATAGCTGAAAAGGTAAAAGTCACTCATTGGCTGGAAGGTGGTGGTTTTCATACATTTTTTTTAGAAAGATTCCCAAACAAACAATATTTCTTGGAAGTTCGCGAAAAACACATAAAAGAAGGAATATACTTCAGCAAATAAAATTTTAAATTTTAATTATTAAATATTTTTATTTTTTGGTGACCAACCCTGCTACAGCAACCTGCTAGTTTTTGTTTGGATGCCATTTTGTTTTCACGAAGTAAAGACATTTTTTTTTTTTAACTCAACATTTCCAACATTTTTTCTCAACAATCTGCTAGCCGAATTACACTTATGCTAGAACTTTTATGGAAAAGAAGTGCTTAATCATGACGAAGATTAGGTGCGAAATTGGGACAAAGTGCAGAATCGTCCACTGCTTGCCACGTTTTTACAAATTGCACATACACGGTATCATCCATGTACACGCCGACCTATTTTCATTAAAAAAAAATCCCTGCGCAAAAATGGCAAAATGGCGCAAAAATGGCGCATTTTGACTTTACCATGACTTTGCAATCGACCTATTTTCAAAACATCCCAGAATTGCACAAAAATGGCATTGCGCACACTCTTGACTATATCCATGTATACTGCTAAAATCCTAGCTAGTAACCTTTATCACCTTACCAAAATGTCACCAAACTACCTGTTACCATATTCCAAAGATTAGCCGAATTTTTTCAGATTCTTTCCTATTCTTAAGTTGCATTATAAAAAAAATATATATCCACTATGCTCCCTCAGTGAATTTCAAAAATTTAGGCTTAATGCTGTTCTATGCAAATACTTTCTAAACAAAGCAGGAAATATAAGATAAATATGAGACTCTACTTTGGTACATGCATGTAGTGTTAATGCATATAGAAAGCCAGTGTGTGTGTTCTTGAAAATTTAAAATTATGTTTTCGTCTGGCAATTTAAAAACAAAATGTTTCTCAAAGACACATTTAGTAAATAACTGTTTCTTACATTTATGAAAAAGATATTTTCCAAATGCCTTTTTACATAGTTATGCATATGGGATTTTTCTACAGCATTGACAGATACAAAAATCGATTGAAAGCTTAATGAAGTTGAGAAACTTTTTATGCCTAATCACACAACTAGGGCCATTGATTGCCTGCGTATTTTCTTAAGATTGCCACCGTCAAATTTAAAGAGAAAGCTCAATCAATAATAATTTTTTTTTATTTCATACTCACTAAGTACTTACATAGGAGAAATTGCATAAAAAGTACTTGCATATGAAAAGTACTTACAATGAATTAAAAATATTTAGTCATGTTATTGTCAGAATCCTGCCACCTGCATACTTTTACATGCTGCACCTCCCGCTAGGTATGGCCCTGCACAAAACTATATTTAAATTTTCTGTTAACATAAAAAGAGCCAAGTTCAATAAAATGCACCTGCAAGCTACAGAACAGATAATAAACAGGTATATATAAGTATAAATGTATCAGACACATGAGCAAAAAAAAAAGTATATACATACATGAAAGCAATAACCTTAGCACAATTTTTTGATTTTTTATAGATGAAAAGTTAAATGTTACTTATCAGGTGCAAGTTGGTGGTTTTCAACCTAATTTCAGAAAGATTCCCAAACTGTCAATATTTATTATAAATTGGTAAAATTATCAATACATCAAAAGAAGATATACTTGAGAATAGAAATTTAAATTACAAAATAAGGATTACATGACGAATTAAAAAAACTAAAACACTTTTTTTTTTTTTTTTAAATCTTTCTGTTGTTATTTTGCACATTTTTCCTTCCAAAATACACACCTGTTTTTGCCAAAACAAATGGAGAATTTGGTTCATGCAGCACTCAGCTAATGAAAAAAAGCATTTCTTTATTGTTCTTTTTATATAATTTTCATTAAAATTCTGTGTTTTTGCAGAAATTTTATTGCAGAATTGTGGAAAAATTTTCTTGCATATTCTGCAAGGCCATATTTTAAAACTAAGGTAAAAAATATCACAATTTGTTTATAATTGAAGGATTATTATAAGCATGATTGCTAGAAGAATGTCTATGCACAATGTTGCCAGAGTTTGACATATACTGAAAATATGGCAACTTGTATTAAAAGATGCTGCATTAACCCATAAATACCACCCCACCCCACCCCCCAAAAAAAACTTACTTCCTCAAGAAATTTTGATTTCTTTCAAAAACACTACAAGCTGCATAGTGGCATCAAAGAAAGCAGTTCAAAGTCAATGTTTTAAACATTCAATACTGAACACATAAGCTTGCAAAAATCTCAATGCTAAGCATTCTCAACATTAAAAATGCTAATGAGGAGGAGAGAAATACTTAAATCCTTCAGCACTAAAGATACGACAAAAGAATATATTTCATATTTTGTAGTTTTTCAGATAAATGTAATGAAAAGTGGATAACATTGCAAAATGTGAATGGAATTTCCATTCAAATTAAAATGTTCAGCAATTCAAGCTTTCAAACAATTCATGACATTACAAGAACAGAAGGAATGAGCCATCACTAACATTTTCTTATTCAGAAAATTATAATCAGTGTATAACTTTTGATTGTTCGAATATGCCATTTTAAACTTTCATTATTCATTAAATACTCCGGATAAGAAAATGCTGCTTTAAATCAGCAGCAGTTTAAAATGACTTGTGACTTATCTTGCAATCATCACGTTTTTCTCTTGCGGAAAGAAATAAATGATTTATTAAGAATTTAAATGAAATGACAATTTGAACACATCACATACAAAGACATTTCTATATAGCATGGACAAGTCTATACTGCACACATAACCAAAGGTACTTATTAATCTAACTTTTCCACAAAAAACATTAGCCTTCTTATTATGTGTAGACACGAGTCTCAATTTTTCTGTGGCCCAAACGATTTGTTACACATTTACCTTATGGAGTTCCTCTTTGGTGTGAATACGTATATGTTTTTTAAAATTAGATTTTTCAGCAAATGACTTACTACATATCTCACACACATGGGGTTTCTCTCCTGTGTGAAGAAGCATATGCTTGTTTAAACTACATTTTTGAACAAATGACTTGTTACATACTTCGCACACATGAGGTCTCTCTCCTGTATGGAGGCGCATATGCTTGCTTAAATCTCCTTTTTGAGTAAAGGACTTCTTACATATCTCACACACATGAGGTTTCTCTCCTCTGTGAAGTAACATATGGTTGTTTAAATGACCTTTTTGAACAAATGAGTTGTCACATACCCGACACACATGAGGTTTCTCTCCTGTGTGAAGATGCATATGGCTGTTTAAAGTAGATTTAAGAGAAAATGACTTGTTACATACCTCACATACATGAGGTTTCTCTCCAGTGTGAATAAGCATATGTCTTGTTAATTCACCTTTTTGAGCAAATGACTTGTTACATATCTCACATACATGAGGTTTCTCTCCTCCGTGAAGTAACATATGGTTGTTTAAATGAGCTTTTTGAACAAATGAGTTGTCACATACCCGACACACATGAGGTTTCTCTCCTGTGTGAAGAAGCATATGGCTGTTTAAAGTAGATTTATGAGAAAATGATTTGTTACATACCTCACATACATGAGGTTTCTCTCCAGTGTGAATAAGCATATGTCTTGTTAATTCACCTTTTTGAGCAAATGACTTGTTACATATCTCACATACATGAGGTTTCTCTCCTCTGTGAAGTAACATATGGTTGTTTAAATGACCTTTTTGAACAAATGAGTTGTCACATACCCGACACACATGAGGTTTCTCTCCTGTGTGAAGACGCATATGGCTGTTTAAAGTAGATTTATGAGAAAATGACTTGTTACATACCTCACATACATGAGGTTTCTCTCCAGTGTGAATAAGCATATGTCTTGTTAATTCACCTTTTTGAGCAAACGACTTGTTACATACCTCACACACATGAGGTGTCTTTCCTGTGTGAAGAAGCATATGGTTGTTTAAACTACATTTATGAACAAATGACTTGATACATATCTCGCACACATGAGGTCTCTCTCCCGTGTGGAAGGGCATATGCTTCTTTAAATTTCCTTTTAGAGTAAAGGCCTTCTTACATATCTCACACACATGACATTTCTCTTCTCTGTGAATAAGCATATGGTTGTTTAAATGACTTTTGAAAGCAAATGTATTATTACATACCTCACACACATGAGGTTTCTCTCCTGTGTGAATAAGTAGTATATGCTTCTTTAAATTACTCTTTAGAGTAAATGACTTGTTACATATGTTACACACATGAGGTCTCTCTCCTGTGTGAATAAGTATATGCTTCTTTAAATTAGATCTTTCAGCAATTGACAAATGACTTGTTACATATGTCACACACATGAGGTCTCTCTCCTGTGTGAAGGAACATATGCTTGTTTAAATCTCCTTTTCGAGTAAATGACTTCTTACATATCTCACACACATGGCGTTTCTCTCCTCTGTGAAGAAGCTTATTTAAATGAATTACTTTGTTATTTAAATGAATTTTTTGAGTAAATGACTTGTTACATACCTCACACACATAAGGTTTCTTTCCTTTGTGTGAATAAGTATATGTTTGTTTAAACGAGCTTTTCAAGTAAATAACTTATTACATATCTTACACACATGAGGTTTCTCTCCTGTGTGAAGAAGTATATGGTTTCTTAAATTAACCTTTAGAGTAAATGACTTATAACATATCATTATATAAGGTTTCTTTCCCACATGTGTAAGCATATTCATGATTAAGGTGCTCTTTCTTCGAAATGAATACTTACATACCTTACACACACATTTTTTTCTTTCCTATACGTACATGCAGATTCTTGTCTAAAGAACCATCCTGTCTAAATGACTTTCATCATATGAGCTTTCTTTACATATATACATCATATATGAGGTTTCTTTCCTGTTTCGATATGTATATGATAGTTTATGTAGCGCTTTAGTCTAAATGACTTGTTACACACTGCATAAACGACGTTTCTCTTCTGTGCAAGTAAGCATGTGAACTTCATTCAGAGTTATCTGCAAATGATTAATTACAAACCTCACATTATAATTATATTTTATCCTGCATTAAGAAGAAAATGCAGATCTTATTGAGGCTTCGGTGTAAATGACTTTTACCAACCTCATGTACGTGAGGTTTTTCTGTTGGGTGAGTAGGCATAAGCTCATTTAAGAAGTTTCATTTTCCACATGAAAATTTCCAATACAAGTTGTACATAAATATATTCGAAAAATGACAGGGACTCTTTGGAAACATAATCGAGAATTCATCACTAATTCATGGCATCCTGGGAGATGTTAGACCTTTCGACTGAACCTGGGATGTTTAGATTAAGCAAAGTAGTTGGTGCATGCACATATAATATAAAACACTAATACAAATTTAAATAGTAGACACATCTGATGCGACATGCACATTGCATTATTGTCAGGAAAAATAAGCTTGTTTATTTCGAACTAATATGATTTCTCTCACCTTAGCTCTCATAATGCTTAGTTTGTTCATTCATTGCTCCAAATCACATATAAAAGAGATGAAAGCATTTTAAAACTACAACAATGCCAGGAAACACCCAAAGCCTAAAGAGAAGGAATATGTGCCGTTGCGAAATTTTCCGCGTACAAACATCCACCACTCAATTATTTGTTATCAGACAGTTTAAGGAGGTGAGAACGAGACAGACAAAGTAGATAGATGTCTTGTTTTGCACCCGCTAAGTCTTTTTGCACCGATGGGCGAAATATCAATCTTAGGTGTGAAGGAAAGGCAGATAGAAAACGGGTTCAGAGGAGAGAAAAAAGGAAGTTAATTCTGTGCATGCGGAAAACTTTTCTCACTTTATACCCAATATTTTCAAGCTCTTCACAAATTTTGTCTACAGGACAGTCGATTGGGATCCTCTAGACGCAACCGTAAGACCTTAAACGGTCTTTGCAATTTAGTCCAACTTCTTATCGCGTCTATCTTCATTATTATATTTCAGAACATTCAAGGAGACTCTTCGGGTTAAAAGACTTCGATTTATCGTGTATGGGTTTTTTTATCCAAGGACACGGAGTATAAACAAGGAGGGGAAACTGGTATTACAACTTTTCCCAAAAATGGTCCACTTTTGTCGCATTATTTATAGAGGGCGCTGCAATCGTTAGCTGTTCTACTTTTCGTAGGATTTGCCATAGGCAGCAATACAGAAAATATTGATTTGATATCAATTTCCATTATGAGTAATTCTTGTAATGCAACCTGCTTCGTCCCCGGATGCAACAGTGGTTATACATCTGTTAGGCAAAAGAATAAAAGCTTGAGAATCAAGAACCGAAGTATATTTAGAGCTCCAAAGGTGAGCAACATTTATATCATGCCTGATCACAGTCAGACGAATTTATATAACTTTACAGAACGTCTGGATTGCTAGTAAATAAGAGGGTATTTAAAAAGTAATAGACTGGAAAATAGTTAAATATTTCACAGAACTTTAAATTGGAAATTAGTTAAATATTTCACATAACTTATGTGCATTTGCATTTCGTGCATGAAAGCAGGCAATCCTGAGATTTTAAAGTTAAATAAATTTCTGGAATTATGCAAGAATGATGGAATATTTGCCTCTTTATTTCATTTACAGAAAAGAAGATTAACTCATTTCCCCTTCTTTTCCGTTTGAAGTAGGTTTTTATAATGAACACTGTGCTGCTTAAAATTAACTTCACTTGCATGGTTGAGTGAAAACATAACAGCAGATAAGTGTAATGAAAAATTGATTTTCCATGAGATAAATTCAGCATATTAAATAAGTTATGAATATTATAAAATCATGCCACCTAATCACATAATTGAATGGCTGTTAAAAATTAAGATTTAAATCTTGATACACTGCACACTGAGAACCATTATGCACAAGGATTTTAAATTTGAATGTGTAAAACTATTCAAGCGTTAGTGCTGCAATTAAATTTTAATTTGCCATTACTATTTTCAAATTAAATTTTAATCATTAAATATTAAATTTGCATCAAAGTCACGTTAAAAAATTGCATACAACAAGAGTATTTTAATTTTGTATGTAACTGAATTCTGATATTTATACATACTTGTTGAAATATATTTTACAGGATCCTGTGCTGCTAGACAAATGGAGACATGCAATTCCTCGGGCCGACCGATACTTTCAGAGAAGGATGTTGTATGCGAGCATCATTTTGCAGAAAGTGATATAAAACAATTTTACGAGACGAAATTGTTCGATGGGACAATATTCAAGTTGGAAATGGGCCGCCCTAGACTCCAAGAAGGAGCAATACCCTCAATCTTTCCAAATCTGCCTTCATATTTATCCAAACCGTCACGTTAAAGAAAAGCACCTGCTGCAAGAAATGTGCCTGTGAAAAGTGTGAATGTGTGTTCTGAGAGACATAACATGAAATTACGTCTCAATGGAAATGGATTAGGCATATTTCATTGTCATTGGTTTCATGCCTTAGGAAAGAAACCAACAACTGTCTGGTTAAGAAGCACATGGCAGAGGAACCAATTATTATGACTGACAAATGGCAGGCATATTCCATAGGCAGGCATGGGTATTATGTGCATAAGATTGTTAATTATCTCGCAAATTTAGTTAAGTTGCAACTGATGCACTTAGTCTATAAAATTCTGCTGCCTCTGAAATTATGAGTACAATATTGTGGTCTTGAAAAGTAGAATTAGCTAATCACCTACAGAATACCTGTTTCGACATGAAGTTAAGTGTAATGGCCAAGATCCATTGATTAAATCGCTATTAAAAATTTTCTCCTCGTAGGGTAATATGCATCTGTCAAATTCCTCGTAGGGTAATATGCACTGTGATCCAATAAAATATTGATCTTGCATTTCTAGTTCATTGGTCAGTGTGTGTAATACCTTGTAAGCAATGATATTAATTGTATATTATTTTATAGATAATATTTCTTGCTTCCTCATTATTTTGATTTAATAATGGTATTTTGTTCCTATGTCTAAATAATTGGGTGCTAACTGGTCCAATTTTAATTTTTCAGCCAGTGTATATTGTTTGTCTTGCTGTTCTGTTTGTTTTTATCCAATCATGAAGTGTTAATATGTACTAAAGATGCAATAGCTGATTTTAATAATTTTTATGTACCTTTAATTAATATGGCTAATGTTATGCAAATGCTAATTGTTATACTATATCATTAGATTGCAATGCTTGTTTGAAACACAAATTCACTTTAGATCCAGGTGAATCAGCAATCTTGCTCAGCAAATTTCTGATCCATGTACTTCAGAAATTACCAACATTTTGAAAAATCCTGCCTTGCTTAATTCAGCAAATGTACATAATTTCTTCATAAATGATTCAATAAGCTTCTTATGTTTTTTGTTTTTTGAATAAATGAAATAATGCTGGGTAAAAGTTTACAATTGGGTGCCCCTTGTTTATTGGTGATTCTTTTTTGACGCCAAGATCGGCGCCAGGAAGGCACAATTTCAAGATGGCCGCTACACAAAATCAAAATAAGAAGTCAAAGAATTGCACAAGATCTGTGTCCATGTTTTACTTAAAAATCCCATCTGTTTTTACTTAAAAAAACATCCTAGAATTGCACAACCTAGGCAAGGTGCACTGCTTTAAATATGTCCATGTACACATCAATCTATTTTCATTTAAATAAAATCGGGAAGCTAAAACAAAGTTAAAACTATCGTGGTAACCAGAAGAGAGGTTTCATCGCCAAACTTTAAAAAAAAAAAAATGTCGCCAATCGAAGGGGCACCCAATTCTACACTAGAGCCTAATGCTGAATTAGTTGTTGTCCCACTAGCACTGAAATCCTGTGAAAATGAGAAATTTCTCATATATCCCATCTTGGAGTTCAGAAAACGTACGAAATCTTATTGAAAGATTCTTTTAGAAGGGTATGTATAATGACACAAAGAATTTTGTTCTCCCGTATCATTTACGTAACAAATACAAATCTTTCACTCCTAAACAGGCTCCATTTAAAGCTATCAGAATACCTAAATATCCAAATGACTTTTTTCCGTGTATATTGGTTGTCCTGTACGAAATTGTGGACATGATCTCATTATTCTAGATAATTTTTCTAAACATCTTTTGTGTTTTAAAAAATCTCACTGGTAAAACTATTACAGCACATTTATTACAATATATGTACCTGGAAGACCAGAAATGATCTTGATTTAGACACAATATCCTTCACTGGTGTTTGAATCGATTACCAAATGCTTGGATATTAAATTATCTCACTGTATTCCTCAGAGACCTGAGTATAATGAACAAAATGAACATGTTAATACCTGCATCAAGAGCTCTTTGCTTATACTTCATGAAAAAGGTATTCCATTTGAAAATGCATTGCTTATCCATCAAAATATTTATAATGGTACTGTTCATCCTTCAACTGGTTATTCTCCTAATATTCTGCATTTTGGAAGAAAATTATCATTACCTTTTAATATGTTTAATCCTGATCCAAGGCCATTCAGGTGGAAAAATCACATTATTTGTGTGATCTTTTAACACAACTAAAACTAAGTTATGAGCATGCCTATGAGATGTTGGAATAAAGCAAATAGAACTGAATACTTGAAAAATGCCATATTAAGATCATTCAATGTTAATGATATAGTGTATGTGAAATCTAAGGTTACATTCCAGCATAGGTTTTCGAAAACTTTTTCTTCTAAAGTAAATGATGTAAATTATGTTATTTGTGCACTTGACAATGATTTTTTCTCAGCCATTTATAGAATTCACATCAGTTGCCTTCGTTTGGCTCCTAAAAGATTCTCCCACACTTCAGTACACTTAATTCTTTTTTTTTTCACTCATTTCTTTTACTATCATAGAACATTATTACAAGTTATGCAATATGTTAAATTGTTCGAAATTTAATTTTATGTGTCTTTTGTTGATTTCTTGATTGTGTGAGCATAATCATTAGAGTTTAAGGCTTGATCACCCTTAAATATCATTTCGAGATTCAACGACATTGTGCCTAATATATAAGTGCATAAGTGTTTGATTTCAAAATTTCCTGGTATGATGTGATTATAATGGTTTGTATTGTTTTTCATCCTGTTTGTAATTTATCTAATTAAGTGTAACTGGGGATGTACAAAAATTGCATTTTGCTTTATCATAGAAATACTTCATTTACAATTCTGTACTGTGTACTTGCAATATGGTATATTCGAAAATTTTATGTACCATATTTATATCATGCACTTATATGTATTTTGCATAAAAAGTTGCTTGTATTGAATTATGGAATATTTAAATAAGTGGTTCTATGTTTTAATGTTAAAAATTTTGTTTTTGTGTAGATGGCATGGTTTTGGTGATACCTAAATGAAAAAATATTTATTTAAAATGTAATCTATGTAATATGTATTTCAGACTGTTAGCTCCATAGCGATTGTCATGATTTTATATGAGGCTGGCACCATGATACCGGAATTTTTATTATGCACATAATTAAATTTTCCTCCTTCCCTCAAAAAGGGGTGAATATCTGATGAGGTCACATTAAATTTATGTCCTTGGAATTATTACAGCCATCTAGAACCAGATAAGGGATTTCATCTGGCGACAATATTTTTGCCAACAGGTTTGTTATAACATGACCAAGCTATGTTCATCAGACAACTAATTTCAGTTCAGTTTGTCTGCAAA